TCCTCCCACAAATTAGCCACCATTTGATGTAAACCTAATATTATGCTTGTTATCACATTATATTTATTAGGTTCTTAGGCTTAAATTGCAACCATTAGTCATTTCTTGTATTCAATATCATCTTTTTCTTTTTCGAGGAGTATTTGAAGATTAAACAAAAAGTAGTAGCTTTCATTGATTTATTTGTGTTCGTTAGTAAAATTAGTATCTCTCAGTGCTCACTATTATGTAATTAAAAACCATGCAAAGGGAAAAAAAATAAGTCCTTGGAAGAGAGTAGTGTGACTAATTTTCGAAAGTACCCACAAATGTTGTAGGCCATTCACATGTAATCATCAAATTTAATTGGTTTCTCAACATTTTCTCTGCATCTTGATTTAATTGTCCTCTTATATATTCCATCTCATTATCTAGAATTTTGTTAAATATATAATATTAATTTAGAGTTTCTAAATTAGTGTGATGAATGTGATTAATCGATATTAAACACAACATAGGCAACCCTGAGCTGAAAAAAAATATACATATGGCTGAAATATCCCTTTCATACACATTAGCATCTAATCCACCAACCCTAAGCTGTGTACTCAAGGAAGTGAATTTCGCGGACATGAGTTAGGTTCCTATTATGTTGTAGTGCTTTGCTATTGTTTTCCTCTAATAACAGGTATATGGCCTACAAGAGCTCTCGCTGCCAAAATTTAGAATTTCATCGAAATATTGGTTGGTACTAAAGTATTTTGTTTCTTGAACTTCACACTAAGTACAGATAGGTTCTAAAAATTCTGGTTTTAATATTATGACAATTGGATTATATTTTCCAAAAAGAATTCTCAAATTCCAATCTTTTCGGTGAGCATCGAAATAATTATTTATTCACAATGTTAAACCTTGACTATTTAACTATACATAGACGTGCACATATATACAACTTAATTAATTAATTGTTTTTGTTTGTTAACATTTGAAAATTCTCAGTTTGCAGAAAACGATTGATCGCTACCTGAACCACACAAAAGGTACATCTACCAATGAGAAAACTGTTGAGCAACCAGCTGCTGGCGTCCAGGTGCAACTACCTACCTTTGTACTGTAATACTTACAGTAATTAATCTAGATGCTATATTACATATATTTGGCTCATTATATATGCTGTGTATGTGATGTATCATATATGTATACGGATGCAGATGTGTAGATCGGAAGCTACGGCCTTGAAGCACAAGATAGACGCAATTGAGGCATACCAGAGGTGATGACAGTGACTTGCCTGCTGAATCATCAACTATTCTTAGTACTTACACATGAAAACAACCAAGAATATATATATGTAATCCAATCGATCCTGGGAAATAAATTACTAAATTTAAATTGTACACAATATGAATGCACATGCAGGAAGCTATCTGGAGAAGGACTGGGGTCCTGTCCGGCCCATGAGCTGCAAGAGCTGGAGCTGCAGCTGGAGAAGAGCCTAAGCTGCATCCGGCAAAAGAAGGCAAGCTAGCAGAGCAGAATACGCTAATTCGGCTCCCGTTTTCTTTTATACCTGAATAATTACACAATATATAACAGTTTTTATTTGATCTAGTTTCTCAAAATTCTGGGCTGAATCGCTGATGATAACACCTTTTGTTTCATTTTCAAAGAGCAGCAACAGAAAATGCTGGATAAAATCTTGGAGCTGAAGGAGAAGGTATGCGTCGACATCTGCTGTTAATTAATGCTATTATTGCATTGAACATTATATATGTGGAGAACTTGTCACCTGTATAGCTAGCTAGCTAGTTAGTTATTAGCAGAATCATAAAAGGGTCTATGAAAATTAGCATGATCAAGATAAGTGCGCACGTGACATGATGGTTATGTATGTGTATTGATACAGGAGAGAAAGCTGTTGACGGAGAACTCGGTGCTCCGCGAGGAGTACAAGGCGCTGCCTCTGCTAGAGCTGGCCACTGCTGCTGCTGCTGCTGCTGAAAGATCGCCTGACGGCGCCGGAGCTGAAGAAGCTGAGGAGGACGAGCGGCGGCGGCATTACATGGAAGTGGAGACTGAGCTGGTCATTGGAAGGCCCGGGTCGTCTAGCTAGCAGCAGTAGAAAATTGATTGATTAAATCTGCTCAATCGATCAGTCGATGAAGATCGATGCAAAAATCGATCAAATATGTTTGTCCATATATAAAATCAGTTTAATTAGGTCGGTGTGAGACTGGAGGATAGCGATGCAAAAAATAATTGACAGGCTGCAGCAAGTGCAGGTCTTATAAAAAAATTGGTCGCAACATCGATCTGCATGCATGTGCTTTTGTTTTTCTATATCCAAATTAATTTAACCAATATATCTATGTGAAAGTTGAGCTGAATCCTCTATGTGTTGGTGGAGAGTTGTTGCGATGCCAATGCTGGATGGATGAGTTTAGTTACACTGGCACTTGGTATATTAGATACTCCTATCTGTGGACCATGCATGCCAGAAACGGTATGTTGGAAAGATGTTAGAAAATAATTAATGTTGCAAAATGAAGCAGCATACAAAACAGTTTTTGTGGATCTTAGCTTACAAAGCCTCCAGGGCTAGCCCATCTAGTATGTACGTTGATCATTAATTTTGCGGATCATCATCATAGGTGCGTCTAGGTTGACAGCATCGCCTCAAGCACCTTCCTAAATAGGCTGGCCCAGCACAGGAATGAGACCGCGGTCACTCGCTTGCTAGCGTGTTCCCTTTTTGCAGGCGTCAACTACTGCAAAAGCGAAATCTCGCCTACTGCAAGACATCCACCGGCCTCACCTACAGCGTTCACCCCTGATGGGCCCGGCCGAATAGTGTGGTTTAGGAAGCTTCTACCTACAGTACCGGCTTTGGGAAGCATCAGATCAGTTTATTCTTTTTCTCATTTTTTTCTGTGTTTTTCTCTACTAGTTTGTATTTGTTTTATTTCCTTTTTTTACTTTTCAAATTTATGTTTGATATTTATTTATTTCAAATTATGTGGGCAAACTTTTTAATTTTTTCATGAACAACTTTTTCAGAATATTAGACACATATTTTTAATCATGCGGACATTTTTAACTGCCATGATTTTTGTAAGACGCAGTTCACAAACAAAAATCTAAGTTTTTTTGAGAAAAACAAAAATATAAGTTGTTTTTTTTAGGCAAAACAAAAATATAAGTAAGAAACAACTGAAGCCTCTCGCTGGAGGGATAGTTGGATCCCTCGGCCGTATTCTTATAAGCCCATCTCGCGGCAAGGGGCATGCAGAATCCGCTTTGTTTCTGATTTGCTGAATGAAAGTGGTGCTTGGAAGTATAATCTCCTATCTAAATACTTTGTGCAGGCTGACGTAGTGGAAATTCTGAAAATAAGACCGTCACCGAGATTGGAGGAAGATATCTTAGCATGGGGGCCAGGAAGATTGGGAGTGTTCTCTGTTAAAACAACTTAATATCTGGCCTTTGAGGAATCACATCAAGGCAGTGCGGTCCCTCGGAAACAGGGACGGATTAAGGGGGGGACGAGGGGGTCCCCCCCCCCCAACGATCGTGTCATCCCTTGATGGCGTTCTGTTAGTCGCTAATTTTTTTGATTCCGTAGCTGTACGTAACGTGCTTTGCCCCCCCTATGGGCTTCAGCCCTTTGCAATTAACGTGAAGCATCAGCATCTCAGCCCATGTACTGATGTACAGCCCAATGTATTTGCTAAATTCTGCTCAAAAAAATGTATTTGCTAAATGCACAAAATGAAGGAAAATGCCAGCGGCCAACCCATCATGGAGGACGCCCAGCCACGACTTGGGAGTTGGACTACGCACGCAGTCTCGCACATATCGCTTAGACCCTAACCTCTTCGTTCCAAGCCGCTCCTGTGATCAGATCTCTCCATCGCGCCTCCAATCTCCATAGAGACGGGGCGAAGGGAAGGGGAAGCTGGGACAGGCAGGCACCGATCCACGAACATGTTTCCGCCTTGCCGGCAGACCGGACGCAATGAAGAGCTGCAAGTCTAGGGCAGTCCCGGGATGTGAAAACTGGCACCGAATCCACAAGATTGCAACCAAAAATTGATCGCCACCGCGATGTGTGGCTATAAGCCTGCGCCCTACGACCCCGCGACGATCGACCGACCAAGGATATTGTGCGGTTAGTCTTCTTCGCTGATGTGTATTGTTAAACGTTTTTCTAGATTACATTTTACAAGTTTCTGCGTTTAGATGGAGTTAGCTTATGTGCGTAGCAATTTTGTTTTACCATCACAAGGCCTGAAGAACTATTCGATGATAAACTTTTGAATTAATGAATAGGGAAATAATTTATCCATTCTACAATGGAACTGGTTTTACAACCTGAATCTGGCCGTATGATTGTAAGTTTCTATCGCTGTCAACTAGTAGCTAGTCAAAAAATAGCACCAATTCTAGTCCAGCAAATGAGCACACCTGATCTAGGTCACGGTAAAGCAAATGAGTTAAAGGTTGAAGATGCAAGGCTAAGGCTTGGGATAACCACATGGTAT